CAATTATTATATAGTGTTATCAATTAAAAATAAAATATTATCAATTACATAGTATATCTATTGATATTTCAAAAATCGTTTTTCACCTAATAACTCATTAAGTTGATATATAAATCATTCAAAAGTAACAATATAATATGATGAGCACATAATAGAATGAGTAAACTTTCGTACTGATATTTACTTCTTGATTTCCCAATTATTCTAATGTGATTACCATTACTTATGATTGAATGTTCTGTAAATAATATATTTTTCATAAGAACATACAATACGATCATTTCATGTGATGAAATCAATTAATTTTTTAAATTTAACTTGGTGACATGAAATATGTTTAATGATTTCTCGTGTGAACATTAAATCTTACATGGTCACTTCCACATTTATCTTCATATTGTGTATATTTTGAACAAGGTATAACTAGATCTTCTCAATTGATATTATATTTATTTGTCATCATCAAAATATCATACATATAATGCTCAAACAGTGAGAACAGCATCAAGCATTAAATATGTTTCGTGCAACATAATAAGATCAATAAACAGAGTTTTATATTAATCAAAAAGGCATACATAAATGTGTTTTTCAACGCTCCCAACAAAACCCTATCTAGTTTTGCTTGAATAAGACCAAAAATTATTCATGCATTGCATTTCTGAGCTCTTGAAAACATATCTCTATACACAATGGATGAGTGGTTTATTAAAAAGTAGAGTAGAATTTCCAACCCGAGGGAAAGTTTACCTTATCGTTGAGTTTTGATTTCTTTGAGCGCTCGTAGAACTAAACAACCATAAATTTCTTAAAATGCCATTAGTTGCGATCCTTGTACATATAGGCAACCTAGGAATCCAAAGGCACCAATCTTGCCCTTGGCTACATCTTCAGCCTGAGCAGTGTCATCTTCTCTATCCCATATTTTGTGCCACTTGTTCAATATCGCTCAAGGTTTTGTGTGCCCATTGGGCACGTAGCCACTTTTACCTTAGTAAGAGACCAAAAGATGATCGACGTACTAGCCATCATAGGCGTCTCGATGGAGAAATACAACGGGTTCGACACCCAACAACCAAAGGAGAGGGAGAGGGAGATGGGGGAAGAGAGAGAGAGAGAGAGAGAGAGAGAGAGAGAGAAAGACCAAGAAAGAGAGAGAGTTGACCAGTAAGTGCCATTTTCACTAGAATCAAAAGAGGTTGTTAAGCACCGTGCAATGCGGGGGGACGGAAAAACTGTTACTGATCGCTAATGTTCCATTAATCTGCGAGCATTGTACAAATCCCATGGATGGATAAAACCGGGTGAACGAAAGTACTTTGTCAAATATATGTACTTTAGCTGGGCAGTTATTTGACGTTCTAGAAGCAGTCTTGGTATTCTAACCCTCGTCAGAGCAAGGTATTTCCATAATTTTGTGTTTCAGTACACTTAAATAGCTGAGACACCCATTCCAAAAGCATTCGTTAATTTTGAGGTGATTTGAAATATTTTGGCATCATTACAGCCAAAGTGAAAGGCATAACCAAAATATAAGCAGTTCTAACGTGAGTCTACCAGCTGGTGCCTCCTATCCTAATGTTGTGTACGACGTTAAAACCTTATCCTCTCTTGAATTGACACTGCAAGTAGTACATCTAGCCGACTTAGAGAACAATTTATTATGATTTTTTTAATTCTTACCGGGCTCTTGCATAATCTCGTACATATCATACAAGCTGCTTATAAATATCTTATTAAATTCTTTGACTCTTCTACAATTTTCACCTGGGCTTTAGCTCATGGAAATTTGTTAAAAAACGTTCTAAAAAATTTGAGTAAATTATTCTAAACCAATTAGTACAATTCATACCTAATAGCCAAGATGTAAACATTCAAACCCTTAGCCTAAAATTATCTATGTTTCATTTACTTTTTGACTAATTGAAACATTGGGTCAACATACTAGGTAGACACACTATGATCTATTTCACCGTAGTCTTTTCTAGATCTTCTCACATAATAGATTTTATGGGTCTATCTCCCCACCTTGACAAAAAAGCCCTAGATTTCCTCTCTAGTATCTTTTAAGCACTCTAGGAGAGTGCTTACAACATAGGAAATAAATTTTTAGAAACTTAGAATGATATCTATTGTTGAATCAGTAGCTTTTATGCTGATTTTGGTTATTTGAACAGAAGAAGAAGCTTGGGCGCACAAGAGCTTGAAGAAAAAGCTTCCCAAATGGACTGGAAGATGAGTAGCATGAGATAATATACCATTAAGTCATTGCTTGAAAGCTTTTTCGGCAGACTATTTATAGTGCCAAAAATATTGATAGTGATAGTTAAAATTTTTGCTTCACTTGACACTTGCCTTAACCTGCTCTCAAGCTACGTGATCAGCTGATGTTGCATTGTCAATTTGATCAGCTTTTGATTAGGTAAGCCTATAGACATGTCAGTCATAAATTTTTTTGACATATCTCTGATCTTTTGACAGATGCTTGAATTTTCTGATGAATACTTAATTTTCTCATAATTATTTAATTTTGTAACACTAATTTTATTTTCTAATGAATAATTTATCTTTCTAGATATCTTGGATTTTCTAACATGCTAGGATACGCCATCCATGTCTAGATATGTCACCCGTGTTAGAGATCGTTTGCCATATGTTAGGCTTTCTAACATGTCATGCATTTTAGAAATCTTCTTTCTCTCTCTCTTCAAATTCTATTTGATTTGACCTTGTCTACCCATGGGTTAACACAAAGTTCTATAGAATAAAAATATGTTGATATATGCATTAATTGGTCGACACACTTCTGTCCTCAAATGATTCAACCATGTTATGTTCTCCTATTTTCTCTCTCTCCTATAGTTCTCTTCTAAAATATTTTCTGTTCTGATTTGACTTAGATATCCATCCGATTATTGCATAGTATTTGACATATTAATATATCTGAGGCCTGAAAAACACAGTTATACATGACCCATGGCTAGATTTAAAGATTTAGCTATTGATTTATAATTAGATTATTCAAACATATTTTCTAGTAATTTCTTATTTTATCTTTTTATGTTTAATTACTAATGACAAAATGATTGAACCCATTGATCTTTTATTCAGCTCGTAGCTTTTCAGCTTGTAACTTTTATAGGCATATGCACTTGAAAGTCCAAAAGCAATCTTAGTTGAGTGCCATTGTGCCCAGCATTGGACCTTGATACTGTGGCGTAAATGATATCTTGTCCATAAAAGATTTGGGAAGAGCATTCATTGTATATTGCAAGCAATTTGGGCACTCCTTAAATCTTAACGCCCAATACATTTAACTATTTTATGTCCTCCTAATAGGAGAATAAAATCCTCACATTCTCAACTTCTATTTTGTTTAGCCAGCTCATGGTTTTTATGGAACAATCTCCTAGCTGCCATTCTCATAGTCAAATCCTTTATTCAAATGTTAATATTCAAACTTAAAAATTTTAAGAAATACTGCATAATATTCAAATTAACTTTTTTATAATGAAGATACTTTTAGAAAAAAGTTTATTTTAGATATAAATCAAGAAAATTGTCACATGACAGATTGAAAGTTGAAGAAAATAAAATCTGAACAGTTTGTTGAGACAAGTGTTCATGGATACAAAAGTGCCCTACACTTCTTGAACTACTTCCTCTCTATCCTCCCTTCCCCTCTCCCTCCCTACCTCCCTCTTCCCTGAGGTTCATGGATTCTTCTTCTTATTTTCTTTTTATGTTTTTCTCACTATGTTATTTTTCGATACATTTTGGTACACTTCACCAACAGAGTAACATTTTTTCTGTCCAGCTCCTTCCATTTCTTTCCCCTCTTTTACCTCCATTTATTTTCCATCATTCCAAGGGTTTTTTAATCATTTATTATTTTTATTGGAAATATTTCTTCTTATTTCTGATTGTCATTTTCTTTTGCTTTTTCTTCGTCAGCTCTTCTTATTTTGATCACCTTGAATCAAAGGGTTTTTTACTTATTCCATTTTTGGCTCTTATTACCACTTCAAATGCCAATGCATGACCTCAAGACTATCTGAAGAGATTGCCTGCCATTTTATTATCTTTATGGCCTACTTTTTCTCACTAAAGAATGAACTGTTCCCTATTATTGTTATTATTATTATCATTACAACCGTTCCTTTCTCCCTCTTCACCCACACACTCTCCCTACTAGACAAAAAAGGAAATATAATTTGGGGTAGAAAAAAGCAGTTGATGAAATGAACCATACAAAGCAAAAGTAATGTAGCAGAGTTTTAAATCTAACAAAAAAATTGATATTCTCTTCATATGCTCAAAAGCATCATCACATGCTGTCCATCTAAGAAATAGCCTACATGCATGACTTTGTACTACCCACTTTTGTCATCCTCCGTCCTTTGTTTCTGTGGTGATTAAGCAGTTGAAATTGCCATCCCATGTACCCTGTCGTCTCCACAAGTTAATAAAATATCTTCTTTGTTCTTGATATTCTCTTCCCTCTTTCATTTTATTATATTTTCTCTCTTCCCCAATATGCGATGCTCCCTTCCTCTAATTAGAAGAGAAAAGAGGAAATCAAATAATGAGGTTGAAATACATGCACAATAAATAAATAGCAAAGTTATTCAGGAAAGGCGATTATCCACATTAAATCAGCCTACACCCAACTGCTACTCTCCAGGTTGCTGCTGTCTGAAATGGAAGGAAAGCATGGCTGGATAGCTTAGATGGATAATCTTGCATGTTAAATAGGAAAGCATATAAAATTGAGAGCCTGATCTCATCCACGTGGGTAACTTACTCTAGTCTATAAAAATAGAGTAAAAAATAAAATATGAATTTAATAAATTACAATAAATTACAACTCTCACCAACTCCCTGGGGATAAGGGGGGAGACTGCTCACACCACAGGATACATTATAGACAGCATACCTCAGTCCACTTATCTACATGATAGGTCACCACCATAAGCCTCTTCTTCATCTCCGACCATTAATCACAGCTCCATCACCTTAGGACAAGTACGATCGAGTAAGAACAAAAGAGGTTTGATTGAACCACAGAATAAATAGGAATCAGACGGAGGCGCATGCATACCCTGCGAGATCAATCAAGATTCCACAGAGGGCCTCAGTTCCTCGACAGAATCGCTGGTGAGAGGGGGCAATGAAGGAATAGATCTGAGGATCAGCTTTCTTCCACCTTTACGGCTGGGAGACAAGTTGACCCCGTGATGTGGAGGAGAGATCCTCTTCCTGTTGGGGGAGGTGGTATTCTTTGCACTGGCAGGCAATAAAGAGTAACTAAGGATGTCAGGCATTTCATCCTCAGAGTCCATCTGTAAGTGCTCATCAAGCGTGGGTTTTGCTCGAATCTGCGTGGTATTTAGAGGGGGAGATCCAATTGTACGTATGGAGGCGGCCCGAGGGGGCTTCACAGTGGAAAAGAATGGCGGTCTGCCAAATGAACTGCAAGATGAGATGATCATCGCTATCTATATATTAGCAGCCAGTCTGGAACAATATTTAAAGATTAAAAAAAAAAACTCGAGGAATGGGCTCAAGAACCTGCGAATCTGGGAAGCTGGTGTGGTAGGCAGAACGCTCTCCGAAAAGGGTTTCCCATCCTTGTGTCCTCGTCCGAAATCATGTTGCGGGGCATCCTTGTCCGTAGCATGGATCTCCTCCTCTTCGGGCACAATTCCGTGATTGCCAAAAGGCAGAGGATCTGTCAGAAATGAACCAAGGCGTTAGCTAAATCCATTCGAAACCGGTAGCAAAGCAAGAGCACCAACTGCGCAGTAACACTTTGGATCAGGAAGAATATCTTGCAAAAGATACATTTGAATGAGAATATAAACACCAAATGAACAATAATTACTACCGGGTTTTTGGGAACACCTTCTGACTTTGAAGCTGAGTCAGGTTCAGGTGATGTAAGTCAGGGTTTCTACTGGGTAGGAAAAACTATCTCGGGGTCCAAGGATTTACCCAAGATTTACCCAAAGCCCATACAAAACCCTAAATCCGGATCTATGGGATTGTCTTAGAAGCAAGTGACCTAATCCCCATGGAGATATATGTAACTGTAAAACGGCTCAGGAGAAGGAACTCACTGAATAATTCACCAATACTCCGAAACAGCTAGGGAAAACAGCAAGTCCTTACCATCTCTTTTACCAAATGTATTCATGCAGCCTTCACATCTGCAGCTTGGTGAGCATCCAACACCTCCCTTCAAAGGCAGAACCAGCGTCCCTGACTCAGATGGCATTCGAGGGGATGTGTTCAAAAGAGGCAAGAAAAAGAGGAAAGAAAACCTGATAGCATTCGCAATATTTCTTCAGGCATCTTGATTTTTTGCAGTTGCAACCTCTCTTGTGCCGTGCTGATGCTGGAGTTTTGTTCGTGTCTTCCTGTGGATTAGAAAAGAGACGAATGCTTTGTTATACACAGGAATGCATGTAGAGAGATAATCTAAGCAGAGTTTGCCTAGTTTCCTACACAGATTTCTGTAGCTGGCTCAGAGGTCCTGATGACTTTTGGGGCAAAAGCAAGTGGGTTTCGTGATTCTATTAATTTCCTTGCTGCCAGGACAGTATCTTCGTACATGGGTTTGTTTAAGCAATCCTGACATTCACATAGCCCAACACAGTAGAGCCCAGCAGCAAAACATTCACAATACCTACATCAGAAAATCAGCTTCATGAAGTGGCAGAATCGTAGAATTGAACGATAATAACACTCAAATCATTGAAGCAGTAGGAAGGAGAAAAACTCGTAGTAAAAAGACTTCTGAAATTAGGAACGCGCATATAAGAAAAGTTCTTGTTCGAATTGTTTTTCCATAATATCTCTGAAAATATTAATTCCTTCTGATTTTTTCTATTTATGCCACTATTATCGAAAAAAATTCCCATGGTTTCAATGGAACAGCCATGGTCAACCAAGTAGTTCTACTCTTGCTTTAGTTAAATATGTGGAACAATGTGTAGATTTTAATTATGAAATTAGCCAAAAGTAAAAATGAAATAACCATGAACCTATTTAGATATAATGTTCGATCCTTTTTAAAAGAATAACTAATGGGTATTATCCATTCCGTTTTTCTCTCAGCAAACAGTCTGTCAAGGGTTTAGCTTCTGAGATCACTTCACTTGATGTAAGAGCTAAACCTAGCAACCGTTTAAACTTTAGGAATCTGCTTAGGCCCAATAAAACTGTCCCCGTACAAGAAGTATTGCTAATAACTCAGTAATTTCATGTACCGCGGGCAACACATAACAGCAATCCGCATTATTGAAATGTCTAATAAGAGAATACTCAATTTCTGTCTAGAAAGAGAACAAAATCCGAATCAATAACCATCCCTGCTTGAACATAGCTTTTCAACGATGAGAGACTTACAGCTTCAGGCATTTCGACTTTTTACACTTACAACGCTTGCAGCCCCCAGTTTCACCACCATTTTCTGTCTTGTCTCTGCACGCACAACATGATTTGCAATGAACCCATGAATATGGACAGAAAATATTTTCACAAAATCTAAATGCAACGGAAAACACATACATTTCCTTCATGGGACTACCAGGATTCAAACTGTCTCCACAGCCTGTGGCTGGTACTTGGAAAGAGTCTTGCATGGAAGCAAGGTCCTGAATTTCGCTGCCACAGGACAAGTCATCTCTCTCTATTTTAAGGGATATACTGGGATGTTTCTGAACAGCTGCTCCAGACTGCCTCTCACAAGAGAAAGCATCTTCAGCTGAAGTTCCCTCTTTAGAGATGATTGCAAGAGAATTCAAATGCAATCCAATACTGGGCACAACAGTTGATTGTGGGCCAGGGCAAGGTTTGAAGAAAGCCTGCTTTCTGTCACCAGGAGAAAGCTTTACACTTGGGGACAATGAGGGTGGAGTGTTGTTTTCTGGGTCACAAAGCATGTTCTGTTCGTGAGATCCTCCCATTTCAAACACTAGACAGCGCCTTCGTATTCCACGATGAGATGGTTCACCAACCTGTCAAAAGGTAACTGATACTTTGAATCCAAGAGAAGATAAAAAATGATGACCAGAACAGGAAGCGAGCAGCTTTATTTCTTAGAAAATTCTTGGTAGACAGCAAATCCTCAAGAAGAACACCATAAGCTTTCTTATTTCTCTGTTTCCAATTTGGTACCGAACTCAATTCCGGAAAAAATCATCAAAAAGATTTAAAATTAAGATGATACCATGAACAACTCGCTGAACATCGCCTAAAGGCTTGATATTATTCACCAAAAAAAAAAAACAAACAAACAAACAAACGAATAACTCAATTACCTAAGAACTAATGTATTAGTCTTTAAGATATAGGTGACTGCTGCAACTTTTACAGATAAATGCATGTGTGACATTCTCAATATAATAAAAAAACAGAAAAAACACTATAATTAAATAGAAAAGAACTGACTTCTTAGACCAAACTCCTGTTTCTTATCAAAGAAATTTGATAAATCAATGAAGTTTGAATAAATTCCACTTGATGCTACTGTGCTTGGCACAGATTGCCAGTGTAACAGAAGAATTAATGAGCAGGCATAGCATTTGAGGTTTCCAAGTGTCCAGTGCATCACCATATTAGCAGATATACACTAATATATGAGAGAAAATAGTCTAAGCCTCTTTCTTAGCAAATAAGACCTACATGATAACATCGATCAACTTATCCCATAAAACTAAATATAACAGAGAGTTTGCATCTAGATGAAACTCACTAGGCAGAAACAGCAGTTCTACCTGGACGCTTAAGGAGACACAGCCACTAGTTTCAACACACATCTTATCACTGAGTTCACTGTTCACTGGTTTCTCACAACATGTGAGAGGTGCTTGTGGTGTCAGTTCGGCATGAACTTTTTCGCCAACTTCCTGGCTGTCATCCTTGGGCAAATGAACCGTGGGATCATGAGGGGAGCTACATACACAGAGAAAGTCATCTGGTCGCATTTTCTGTGAATCATCATTATTACTCTTGGAAAGATTTGATGAAGACAAAGCTGAGTACGATTCAACATGATTCCTCATAATTTGATTGTGTTCCTTACAAGCTTCAGACTCTGTGGAAGAATCAAAAATCAAGAAATTCTCATTATCATCCATAATTAAATCCCAGTTGCGTCCTGTAAGTTTTTCCCTACTTTGCTCCTGACTTGGCAACTCACTAATCTTAATTTCAGTCAAAGAGGGTTGTCCTTCTTCTTGATGATTACAGCCAAACTGATCCAGAGCAATGTTACCCCTGACAGACTTATGATCAACTATGACCCCGAACGAAGGAACTCCATTATGGTTGGGACTAGCACAATCATAATTTACTGGATGAGACGGATTGACAGTTGGCATTGAACATTCGGAAGGTTCAGTCGCAACCAAATCTAGTGAACACTTAATCTTGCAGAAATCATGAACCTCTGTGGCATGTTTTGAAAACTTGACATTTGATGCCTCAGAAGAAATAATATCATCTTCGCTGACAGTATATCTGAAATAGAAATCAAGAACAAGGGTGAGAGTTCGTCGATAGTAACTGAAGTATTGGCAAGAACTACTATTCCATGGACAGTTACCTTATCAAAAATCTAGACTCTTTTTTGGGATTCACATGTGGTGAAGAGAAAATTGTTGGAATTGAAGCAAAATTAAATGATTGGAAGGTTTGAGTGATGTGAACAGGTTGAACAGGCTTAATTGGAGAGAGATTGCTGATATAATTGAAAACTGGGGAATCCTGCATGCAGAAAATATTATCCAGGTTAAAGAATGGAGAAATTTCCAACTTATATGCATATACGTCTAGAGATTGTAACCAAGAAAGAGCAAACTTAATTAAAATACAGCATCATAGATCACTCATACCCACTCTCTCCTATACAACCATGTATCTAAAATAACATATCAGGTAAAACCCATCACCAATTCATCCCAGTCTTTTATAGCTTGGGTTCCATTGCAAAAGTGTATTGTGTCTGCTAGAGCGTGCCAGAGACTAGATGAGATGAAATAAAGTTCAAACACAAGCTTAAAAAAATCCAGCATTAAAGTTAGGATGAATACCAATTTCCTCATCCATGCTTTAAACGAGCCTTCATGAAAGTTTATGACATAGCAGACACCATTATATGGGTACAAGTGATAGAAATGACGAAATGAAAGAAATGGAACTCGAGCATTAGCCCCTTTTTAGGAAGTCATACCATGAATCTAATAACATAACAGTTTTAAACAATGTGGGATCTCAATAATAACACTCAAAATCACCGCGGAAAAAATGCACAAGACAACAATTTGGTGTCAGAATCTTCTAACCGGATGAGAAAAAATCTTAGGAATCGAAACCAACTTGATAGGAAAAACTAAATGCACATTAATACAAGTTCTTGCAAGGATGTAAAGGCTGGAAAAATGGGAGAGAAAGAAAGAAGGCGAGAAAGAGAGAGAGTGAGATATACTTAACAAAATCTCAGATTTCCACCATAATACCGGCTGTTTTCATGTTTTACAAGAGTTTCATTAAATGTTAAACATGGAAAACTATATATTTTTTAATAAATAAACGGTGTCTATCAGCAAATATCTTTCAGTATCCATTCTCTCGAATGACCTTTGAAATTTGAATATCTATCATGCTTTATAATCTCACAATCTGACACATGCTTTATAAATACTAGTGTCATTGAGATGCCCTGATCTAAGAAATTCTAGGGCATTCCAAAACGAAAGTGGAATTGGTAATAAGATGTGACGCCATGTGGAAGTTGGTTTCTCTACTAACTTACTTCTCATTGTCATATCTTATGTTATGCTGGTCTAGAGAGGCTACATAGTATTGAACAAAGCATTTTGACAGATGGGATGTGGTTAACTAAGAACAAGGATTCGTGATCTTATGCACGTTTCACATTGCGAAGCTAAGTTACTGTTATGGAATGCCTTGACAAATCACATTTATAGCATCAACTCCCGGTTTTATAATGTATAAATAGCTCATGAACGTACACGAGCCTTAGCTATCTCAAGGCATTATATATGTCCATATATAACATTTTAAGTGTAAACATCTTTTACTTCATGAGGGCTTTAAGTCCATAAATCAGAGTTACACTGATTCATATAAGTCGTAAACTAAATCACATATTTTCACAGTTCGTACAAAAAAGAACTCATCATCATGGAGAATGCTGAAATAGCTCGCTGGACCTAATATCAGCTGAAGAGAGCCCAAAAGGCCTGGTAAAGAATTAATGTGCGTCCAATAAGGGATCAAATGCAAGGGTGTAATTGTTCTATCGGACACTTCAACAGAAAGTAATGTGGCCGTTCTCATACTACCTATTCTTAGATCTTGAAAAAAAGGAAAAAGAGATATTACGATGAACTTGAAATCGTGATAGCAGGAGATGAAAGACAGCATGCTCCCCACTGTACCTGGGATTATGCATTTTCCGTGAAACAAGTCTTGGCGAGGATAAGTGTACGACAATGACTTCAAGAAGAGCTCTTTGGCCAAATGCAGCACAAATTTGGGAATCACACCAGGAGACGTGACATGAAATGGTAGATGCACGAGAAACCATATCGATCAAGAAAAAAAATTAAGAAAACACTTCAAAATGCGAGCCCGAAAGTAGGCCAAGTTGACCAGAACAAATCAGATCGGTAGCTGTATCTCCCTATAGTGCCACAGGCGAGCCCGTGAGTACCAAACAAAATGAAAGCAAGTGACAACCTAATTCAACGGCCAAAAAGAGCACCAACCGCAGAGTTTTCGAGGGAAGAAGGGTAGAAGGACAGCAGATGGGCCCCCGCCGAAACAGGAACCCCCCCCCTCCACCCTCACCCCTCACGAACCCACCCTCCTGCTGCCACGCCGTACGAGAAAATTCCTTCGACGTCCTCAGCTTCCCCCGCCCCCACCCCTCACTCGGATCCGCGGGAGATCCGGTGGAAAAGCCCCCAAATCGGTAATGTAAGACTTACCTCGACTGTGGAGAGTCCCTTCCCTGGCCGCTGCTTCCCCCTCTCTGGCGTGTCCATGCCGTCGCCGTCGCCGTCGCCGTCGCCGCCGCCCCGTCGCCTCCCTATTCTGTGTTCGAGGGAAAATCTCAGGGCTCCATTCCTCTCTTCCTCCCTCACTCTCCCCTGTCACACTGTCGCAGGATAGCAGTTCGTTTTCAAGCCGGGTGTCCAAAGGCGGGAAGCTCATTTCCCTCCTCTCATTCTCTCTCCTCTCTCTCTCTTTTCTCCGCCCCCTGCAACCCCGACACCATGTCGCCATGCTCTCAGTAGATCCATCACGTGGTGTTATCACCGACCTGCCTTGTACAGTCGTAAAGCGGAGGCTACTTTTCATTCACTTTGGACCTCACCTTCTAACACCGTTTAATTTATGAATATTTATTTCATATTTAATTTTGGGTATTTACATATTAAAATATCAGTGATGCGTTGTTTCAAGCTTGCTAGTTAATAAAATTATTTTATTTTCTATTTTCTATTTTTCTATTTTTCTCAACAATTACTATATTCATGTTCTTCTTATCTAAAACAGTCATAAGGAAAAGACATACTTTTCATTTACTTTGGAACTCACCCTCCAACACTCTTTAATTTATGAATATGTATTTTATATTTATTTTTAGGTATTTACACATTAAAATATCAATGGTGAGATGTTTGAAGTTTACTAGTTAATGGATTTATTGTATTTATTTATATATATATTTTTTCCCACTGGTTACTATTTCCATTGTTCTTCCTACTAGTTATGAAGTGAAGTGCCAACTTTTCATTGACTTTGGAACTCACCTTCCAACACTATTTAATTCATGAATATTTATTTTATATTTATTTTTAAGTATTTACACATTAAATTTTCAATGGAGTGTTGTTTGAAGCTTGCTAGTTGATGAAATTATTGTATTTTTTTGTTTTTTATATTTTGCCCAACGGTTACTATTTTCCATTGTTCTTCCTATCTAGTAGAGTTGTGAAGTGTAGAGCCACCTTTTTTATTCACTTTGAACCTCACATGCTAACACCATTTAATTTATGAATCTTTATTTCATATTTAATTTTGGGTATTTACATATTAAACCATCAATGATGTGATGTTTCAAGCTTGCTAGTTACTGAAATTATTGTATTTGTCTTTTTCATATTTTTGGAATGATTATCACATTCTATTGTTCTCTCACCCAAGTGCATGGGTCCACTCACTTTATATCTAGAAATGAAAACACAAGCTTTTCAAACAAGTTACAAATACTTAACATATTTTTCCTACAAGTTAAAATAAAGCATATTATGTGGTGTGATATTTTTGTCTTAGTTAATATTTGTATTGATATTCTTTTCTTTCAAGTGAGTCAACTCACTTCTCTTGTTTTTAGCTTGCTCACTATGAGAATTAGGAATAAGATGAAATTTCCTTTATGAATGTTTCTTGATGAATTAAGATTGATAAATTTCATCAAATGCATTATGTTAGAGATGCTTGAAAAATATCTTCAGGAACTGTACTCACAAGATTTTGGTTTCAGATATGTTGTGATGATTTAAACTATTTGTAAGAGTGTGCAACCTCTTCTAATAATGGGTAAATTCTATTTCAGATAGAACAATAGCTTGCGAACCATGAAAGGCCAGATTTAGAAGGAAAAGTATAAAATCATCTTTGATAGTTCAAGAATCTTGTTGAGATTAAGAAAACAAAATTCTGCAAAAGTTTCAGAAATTCATGAATTTTGTTTTACACAAATTTTGAAAGAATTCAAAAATATGTATAATTAATTATTTAGTGAACTATAGTGAATTCGGGATTTGTAAATTGACGTCTTTCTGAAAATTATAAATTTTAAAAAAATGGTTTTTCATAATTTGTTCTGAATTTAGAAATTGATAAAATTGGTTATTTAGCATGTTGTAATGAATTCAGAAATATGTAAAACTGATTTTTCAGCACAACATGAAAAACATAAAAAATTGAAAGCAAGTTTTCCACCAAACTATGATGAATTTAGAAATCTGAAAAAATTGGTTTTTCACTAACTTGTGACAACTTTAGAAACCTTTACTAAATTCGGAAATACCTCAAACTAGGATTTTAAAAATATGAGAAACTGATTTATGAAATACTATTAAAATATAAAGTTTTATATAGTACATTATTTCACAACATTACTTCCATGTACTCTAATATGAAGCTTGATAATATTGAGCTATATTTTATATCAGTTCAATGATAGAGCTTGGCATATGATGTTATTCTTGTATCACTCATTTTCCCTTTTTGATTTTTATTATCTTAAAATATAAGGTCATTATAAGTTTTGATAGTACAAATTTTTCAAAAATAGTTTTCATGGATCCAAAATTCACATGACTTTTCTACAGGTTAGTAGCAACTTGTTTATCATTTTACTCTCCTCTTATCTTGTTTCCTATCTTATTTTTTTCTCTTGGCATGCCGTTTATTTTTCTCCCAAACTTTGCCACCCATAAAGAAGGGAGTGTCTGGCATGTATTGTTAGTAAATGTTGATACATATTAAGGAATTATAAGCATTTTGTTTGTCATTATGAGGCTATAAAGGGGGAAAACATAATGCATGTGAAGGCTCTTCATGGCTTGTAGGGTGCCTTAGAACTCAATTCTATTTTGGAGAATAAAGAAGATATAAATTAATATATTCTCATTTGAAAAATATGAGTCTTAGGAGAAGACATGCATCTCACTATCAAGGTTGACTTTTACATGACATATAATCCATTTGAAGGCAAGGCTTCACAAACCATTATGTGTGTCATGGTGGCAGGACTGCTAGGGGATTGGATCAAGGTGTCAGTAGGGAACATAAGGGCCATGCAAATACAAGTTCCATAGGTAGAGAGCTGAAATAGATTATATTAGTTTAATGTGTTGCCAAAACGGAAATGATAGGGGTTAGTAAGTTCCTATCAATAAGATTATATAATTACTATTATTTTTCATAAAGAAAATGGAAGTTTTTTCCTAGGATGAGATTGGGAGCTGACGTGACTTAGTCGTTGTATATTAAATCACGCAAATATAAAATTTATAAAACTAGAAAATACGAATTTTTAGATATTTAGAAGTATTTCTGAATAAATATATAAATTATAATTCCATAAAAATTCCAAAAAATAACGGTAATTTTCCAAGTCGATCACAGGGATGTAATATAATATCTGGTAATTATTCAGAATTTTCCTCAAAGAATACTATTTTTTTTGAATTTTATACTAAGAAATGAAAAAAATATATATTTTAAATTCACAAAAAAAAGAAAATAAGGGTGCGGACGTCAGGATGACGTCAGCGCCTGGCGAACACGAATCGGGCGGAAACAGAGTTTCACCCGGCGATTCTTACATAAGCGATTACAGATGATTTAATTAATCAAATTAAGATCTGTAAAAGCCGAAAGAATCGTAATAGAACAAAGTATATTTTGGTAAATTAAAATCACAAAAAGTATCACTAAATAAAACATAAAGTAAGTTAAAAGCAGGAAAACAGAGTTCTAGCATCGTGACGGCGTTGCGTCGGTGATGCACCGGAATTCTAAGTGTTCGGAAGGATCGTCATGCAATGTCCACGGCCTCGAAGGCTCTCTTTGGACAAGGACGACGTGGGCAATCTCTAGATCTTCTCGCGAAGTCTAGAGATTAATGAAATGAGTCATCGAGTCGTCTCCGGCGGTTGTTACCCGACAGAGCGGAAAAACGGCGACTTTGCGACTCTTCGGCAGCTGTCACCCGACGGAAAGGAGTTGGATGGAGGTGGGGCGCATGTCAGGGAGCTTCATCCTCAGGTCCGCGCAGCAAGAGGAGGCTCTTCATCGCATCTGGTACACTCTCAGGAGGTGGTGACTCATCTCCCGACGGATCGTCCTCTTCCCGACGACGGCTTGTTCGTCGATCAATCGGAGATGATTTACTCGATGGATTCGCAATCCTTTTATCGCGAATCGTTTAGCAATTTTAGTAGCAATGCTCCGCGAATCACGTTGACGAGATTTTCGCCGATGATCCAGCGATTCTCGTTGCTTAATCCTTCACCGGCGATCTACAAGAAAGTCACGATAATTAGATAAAAATATATGACTTTTGACTCTGGAAAGACTCGAACCCGCGCCGGTCACCTGCCTCTTCTGAGGAAGGTGTGACGCAGGTTTAGTCCCACATCGGTTGTGCGCTGATTTTTCGGACGAATATATAGTAATGTTAGCTTTCTAAGCAAAGTTCCTTCTCTTGTGTGTACGACCACTCCTTGCCCCACAGCCAGCTGGCCACCGGTGACGTGGAAAGGGAGTGGCGCACACGTGCCCTTATTGGTCCAAGCCACTCGAGCCCTTGCTCATGGCTACTCCCCGACTGAGCTTCCGACCCGCTTGCGGGCCCGGCTGGCCGGCCGGTCCCCCTCATTTTGTCTTATTTTTTTATTTTATTTCTTTTTCTTCATTTATCTCAAAAGTAAGATTGTAAAAATCATATAAATTCATGTAAAATCACATAATTACCTAAAAAATCACATTAATTAATTGAAAACCACTTTTCACACTTTAACACAAATATAAGTCTATTTATCATGACTTAAGATTAAAACTATATTATTTACTAATTACTAACTCATGATAATGAAGACTTATCAGGAGTCATTCATGTGAAAAGAAGTTTGGAGGCCAGAGCCACGTCTAATGCAAATAGTTTAATTTTTTAAAAAATATGTTCCAATTTTGTGTCAACTCACATGACCAGATCTAGCAGTCAACCACTAAGATCTCGGCCGTCCGTTTAAATTGAGGAATCGGTAAGTAGTTAGGTGGGTCACCGACTGAGTCGACTGGGGAATTGGCCAATTCTGTGTACCTTGCTTCGTGTCGATCGTCAAACTCGGAATGAAGTGGGATTTCGAGTGCTTACGTCGGCGTATCCTCACCGGATGTCGGAATTAGTCGCCACGTCAGCTCCAGGGCAGAGAGCCCCTGCGCGGGACGGCTCTTATCCGTTGGAAGAACCCGCTTTTGGCGCTGTTCCGGATCGTTCAATATAAATCGTACGGTCACGATCGCATTCCCTCCGGGAGAATTGCGTCTCTCTCTCTCATCTCTTCAGCCTCTTCTTGATGTCGACAAGGACGTCATAAGCACCAGCAGGTTTTTTTCTCGTCGAAGGAGATCGGTGATGGCGTCGTTGATCCGGAGGAGGATATCCATCAAGGTGAGGATACACAATCCTGGATCATGGCGGGAGAGGCTCTTCTCCTCTTCTTCATCTTCTTCTTCCTCTTCGGGGGAGGAGGGGAGGGGTATCGAGAAGATTCTGGTGGCGAACCGGGGGGAGATCGCGTGCCGGATCATGAGAACGGCCAGGAGGCTTGGGATACGGACAGTGGCGGTGTACAGCGATGCCGACCGGGACGCGCTCCATGTGAGGTCCGCCGACGAGGCCGTGAGAATCGGGCCGCCGCCAGCCCGGGCCAGCTACCTCGACGCCTCAGCCATCGTGGACGCTGCCATGCGGACCGGAGCGCAGGTCATTAGTTCTAAACTCTCTGTGAACTTTAGTTCTCTAAAATGCGATTTGATATACTGCTCTAAATGCATCTGGCTCGAGTTGGTGACCGTTGCACATGCTACACATATGAAAATGTTCTAAGGTATAAGGGCAATGCTGTCTGACCATAAAATGCGGAAGTTTCAGTCGCATATATTTTATTGTCATTCCTGAAGAACTCTGAAAAAGTTTATAGCGGGCAGTTCAGTACAATCTTTATTATTCCATTGTCAATCTTAGTTCACTCCAATAGTTTTTTGTGGTCGTAAGTTTATGTAAAATTTAAATAATCTCCTTTATATCAATGTCAATGTCAGTGTCAATGTCAATGTCAATGTCAATGTCAATGTCAATGTCAATGTCAATGCCAATGCCAATGCCAATGCCAATGCCAATGCCAATGCCAATGCCAATGCCAATGCCAATGCCAATGCCAATGCCAATGAGTAACATGATAATTTTCAATTGAAATTCGCCTGATCTTGCAGAGTGGATGAATGTGGCCAATATTTTCAATTTAAACTGAATCTTGGGTTTCAAAGTTGTCACATTTCCTAGCCTTTGGTGGCAAACCAAGCTAACCTGATGGATAAACTGTTGAAACTCCCAATTATTTGTCTGGTATTATAATTTTTCATGATGCTACTTTCATTTGCCTTATGTTCTCAGGACTGTTTATAGTCCAGGCTCTAGTTTCTGTCATGCAAAGAAAAGTATTAAGTAGCTGAGAAGGTTAATCTTCTCAGATATTTCCCTTTCATACTTGTAGGCAATCCATCCAGGCTATGGCTTTCTTTCAGAAAGTGCAGATTTTGCACAGCTTTGTGAAGCTAAAGGGCTGACATTCATTGGACCTCCTGCATCTGCAATCAGAGACATGGGTGACAAGAGGTATATACTTGATGTGGTTTTCCCTCCTGCGAGAATCACTTGTATACCTGTTGAACCGGCATCTTTTCTATTGTGCTTGAGAAGGGGCAATAATACTCAACTATTATTTTTATTTTTCTCATAACTTATTCCACGTGTCTGCACATTGAAGTTACTCTCAAACACTATATTATCCGTGCATGGACTAGTGCATCAAAGAAGATAATGGGTTCGGCTGGTGTACCTCTTGTTCCTGGTTATCACGGTGAAGAACAAGATGCGGACTTTCTAAAATTAGAAGCTGAAAAGATTCGATATCCAATTTTAATAAAGCCAACACATGGTGGAGGAGGAAAGGTATGGTCTTCAAAGCTGTCCGATCTACTTTATTCAAGAGCCAGGAAACTGCCTGCTATAAGCAGTTACGATTGCTACCCGCAATAAGTGCCAAAATGTAGGATCTGCACAGTTTTTCTCATGATTAGTGTATGTCTTCAGTTGGATTATTTTACATATTATTTACTCCTAGCTATATATGCCATTTTGACATTTTCGACATCTATTGTGGATTCTTTTGCCGATAATTTACTTGCTACCCAATTTTTGTGATTCTGACACTTTTGATGCCTATAGTCGATTCTCTTGCAGATTATTCTCTAATTACCCTGTTCATAATATTTTGACATCTCAGTGATATCATCATGTTCATTAGTTCATGTGTTTGTACGAGAAAAACAGATAAAGGTATTAATGTAATTTAGCCCGTCCTCAATATGAGAACATCTACTTTTTCTAATAATTTAATTTCCACTTGAAGTAATTTATTTCTATTACAATCTGGATGTCATAAAGCCCTATGAACGCAACATCGGAAAATATTTATTTTGAATAACCTGCAAATTGAATAGTTACCTCTCTCATAATGCTTTTGTTATTGAATGCTAAGGAAACAGAAATATCAGACTGATTCTTGTTCTTCACGAGTTACCCTCTGACTCCGTTTTCTATGTGATAACGTGTACATAGAGAGGGACTTTCTGACACTATGATAGTAGTAAACTCTAATGCTTATTATCAGTTAAATAAATCACCTCCTTTGTGTCAAGTACTTGTCGTTTCCTTGAGGAAGAAGGAAAATGGTTAAAACACTATAGATCAAGTGCTAGCCATGTTTACACGGCCCAGAAAAGTTTAAAACCCATTAAGACGAACATGGTCATCTAGCTTGTTGTAAAGTAGCTGACAGGCTTTGGTAGAATTTTTTTATGACCATATATGTTGTAAATTTGTGTTTTTCAAACCTCTTTAGAAAATACCCTGTATGACCTTTCCCTTTGTTTTTCGGTTGTCATAGAAATCTAAAGAAGACGAAATGTTTCCTTGTACAAACTTTCCCATCAGTTAAACTTGAGAGTACATGGCCCGCACTAGATGTTTGTAGCTTCATCATTGTCATTGGATTAGGAAGCACAAGGTTGTAAAGTAGCTGACAGGCTTTGGTAGAATTTTTTTATGACCATATATGTTGTAAATTTGTGTTTTTCAAACCTTTTTGGAAAATACCCTATATGGCCTTCCCCTTTGTTTTTCGGTTGTCATAGAAATCTAAAGAAGACTAGATGTTTCCTTGTACAAACGTTCCCATCAATTGAACTTGAGAGTACATGGCCCACACTAGATGTTTGTAGCTTCATCGTCATTGGATTAGGAAGCACAAGATTTTCCCTATGATGAAAGTGGATCTTGGTTGGTGGGCATGTTGTTAAAATAGAAGTTCTGCACTCCAATTTTTTTGAGAGTAGATTTTTGTTTGTACCATCCTAATTGTTTCATCGTGGAAAATGTTTATCTCTGACGTTTCAGCAGATACTATGAAATTTTGACATAGCACAGGATTTCTGAGATCCATGACCCGATGAAATTGATCTCAATAGCTAAATCGATTATGTTTTACGGTTTAAAAATAAGTCTGGGTACAAGCTAAGGGAAGAAGTTATTTATCGAAATTATGATCAAGTCATGTTAAATGTTTTAGACATTTTTCTGTGTCTGATCCCCTGTTTACACTAACAAACATCGATTCTTTCAGGGGATGAGAATAGTTCAAGGGCCAGGTGAATTCATGGATTCACTTTTGGGAGCACAACGTGAGGCTGCTGCATCATTTGGGATAAATACCATTTTACTTGAGAAATACATTACCAGACCACGACATATAGAAGTCCAGGTTCTGATCTAAGGATTCTTGTCATCTGTGTTTCTCTTTTGAAATAGTTTCATATATAGTTTTTCTTGAAGGAGTGATGTTGTATTAGTTTCCTATCACCTTAGAATCTGTGCTACCCCTTTGGCCTACATTCTATACTTCATCAAAATAATGTGCATGAGCCATGGGCCCCACTTATTCAAATCTTTTTGTAGTCCTGGAACATTTTGGGGCGAACACCAATCCAGACAGGTGGGTTGAAAAAGTTTGGCATTTAGGTTGCAACATGTAGCAAAAAGCGCCATTCAGATGACATCAAAATCGGTGTTTCATGCAAGAGTTTTTTTGACCAAACATAGTGAAGTTGGTTTCCATTACATTCTTAGATAACTTATGGTTTCGAGGTTCGTCCCTTGCGAACAAGTGTTTCCTCTGAGTGGAGGCTGCTGGAGTCATCCTTCTTAAGTCGTCCCCTCGCTGGGTGGACATTGCTTTCCTGTTCATGTTGGTTTGCCAATGAGCTGGCGTTGTCTGGATGCTTGGCCTATTTTTTTCAAGTTTTGGCCTTAAAATTAAGCACGATAATGAAAATAAGCATGTTCGAGTGCTTATTGGATTGGCTCAAGCCTTGAAGTGGTTCAAACTAGAAGTCTTTTTTGCTGCCCGTCCACACAACAGCAGACCCCAACCCAAACTCTTCTCCACGATCCATTGGATGCCACCTGGTCTGCTCACCCTCCTAACCTGCCACCCCGGTCCCTTCCTGCATCCCTGTCCAATGCCTGCCCAGTACAAATGCATATTAAGTAATTTATTGTATACTTTACGATGAGCGAATAGTATTCTATAGGGAGATGTTCAGAGGTATTCTTCATTTTGGCATCCTCTGCTGCGATCTCGAGGCTGACAATGAGCAAAAGGTCCCTCCTATTTAGCTGTTGAATATTAATATACTTTGGGAGATTCAAATATGTGGATACATATAGACTACTCTTAAAACAGAGAGGACAAATGGGGAAACCTTTCATTTTTCCTTCATGGCAATCTTCGCATGTTTATTATAGTTTTTCACACTTCATTTATTCTATTTATTGGCTTTTGCTCCTATTTCTCCATTCCTTTCGCATCTACTTGATATTATAGTGTTCAATCCTCTGAGGTTGCATATGTTGTTCTTGATAATTGGCTTGCAGGCATTTTGATTTTATTTCATTTTTCTTGGAATTGTTCTGATAAGATTTTTGTCTGTCTCTCGGGTGGTTATTGCACATACTGAAGTTTGATAGCAACTAGCACCACTGATTAAGACTCTTCTAAAATTCAGTTCGGTTTATGCTCTGCATAGATTGTTTCTATAAAAATTTGATTTTTAATTATTTATTGAATCAGTAGTGTCTATTCTCACTGCTTGCATGTAATATCCGAAGTATTGATTTACTTGTCATTATGCATATAACTAGAAAGCCAGATTAGTCTGCAATCACTTGGATCTTCTGTGAACACTTGGATCCATCATGAAGTGCAAATTACCAAGTCATCTCTTGAGTCACCACGAATTTTAATTCATGTACAGTTCCATGATGTCCTTAAAAATCTGTAAAACGTATCAGGTCACTATTGTTTATTTGGAGGATAATTGAAAAGTCCTTTTTTTTTAGGCTTTGTCGTACTATTTTCATAACTATTTATTAACTTTTTGTGGAATTATTAGGTATTTGGAGACAAGCATGGTAATGTGCTACACTTAAATGAGAGAGATTGCAGCCTGCAGAGAAGGCACCAAAAGATTATTGAAGAAGCTCCAGCAGTAAAGATCATCTGTGTTGTGACTACATTATACTTTCACTTTTGGAATTGCATGTAACATTTTCATTTATGCAGCCAAAAATTGCAGATGACTTTCGTTTCCACTTGGGGCAAGCAGCTGTCTCAGCTGCAAAGGTGATATTTTTAGAATTCATGAATATTATAGATCTAACAGCATTATCTTTGCTAAAAGCGCATCAGTTTTTGTGCATAATTTTCTTGGAACGTTCTTTGGTTATCACTCATCATTAGTTTTCGAAAACTTATAATCTATCCTGTTCACTCTTGTTCTGTAAGATAGCTGCTTGATTTCTGATGTCTGGATTTTAGTAAACGTAAATGGTCGTGTTGCATGTGAAACTCTTACACTGTACCGTAAATGGGCTAAGGAGGGTTACTTTGAACTTCTTTCTTTCTCATGGATGTGATAACATTTATATTCAGAATGATGATAGATAGAACAAAGAATAAAATATTGAATTTTATTATGATTGGTAGGGCTGACATCAGATATAGCCTGCCACAACTTTCTCTGCTCCCACAGAATATTTGATCGCGTCCACAACATAAAATGGTTAGATTTCGAAATAGGACCTGTCTAGTCTACAGATATGCGTCCTATTTTGTATATTTCAAGTGATTAGTAAATATATGATGATAATATTTTAATATCTTTCCTCATGTATTTTACCTTGTGAATCTGACATTACCTGAGACTGCAAAGAAGAAGTGTAATAGAATAAGATGGGCCATGTAGTTAGGTTAAGGGCCAGAGTGTGAGAAGCCATCAAAAACCTGATTGGGTTGGGCGTTTTGGTCTAGCCCATCCCCAGAATATCCCAAGTGTAATAGTGTCAGTTATCCAAAATACTTTACCCGTCCTTATATCTGGATGTATCATTTGAGCATTTGTTTTGGGAATACATTGACCTTGTCTGAAAATATTTATAGGTACGCTTTAAATGCATGCATGCCATATTTTCTTTGGATTACCTCAATCTCGATTTCATTGTTTCTTGTTGAACTGGATCTAAACTGAAACAAAGAGAATGCCTAATTGGAAAACAATATATTGAGAGCAGTTTCCTGCTATTACCCTTTCTATGGACGTCTGGATTGACACCATGATGTTCTGGTGCACAATGCAATACAACTGTAGAATTTCTCATCATGCTAGAGTTTTTCAGGTTATTCTAATGAACATTCTTGTAGCATATGCACTTTATGAGGTGGTTCATTGAATGTTAGATTTTGATGTCGAGTCCTTTTGTTGTTCTATTTATTATATCGCATCTGCATGAGTTCATGAAATTTAACTCCACAATGAAGGATTATTTCTCAGTGGTTGGCTGCACCTGGAAATAAATCATCTCTCTTCTTATATGACGTCATCCTAATTGAATACTTGCCATAAATCTTTATTTGGTTTTTTTTTACCTGTTGATGGGGCTCGTTTGTCTGTATTCATACTGATTTAATAGCATATGTTTCTTGTTCAATTTCTGAGAAGGCAGTTGCTTATCATAATGCTGGCACTGTCGAATTCATAGTGGATACTGTCTCCGGCCAATTTTACTTCATGGAGATGAACACCCGTCTTCAGGTGCCTATTCTTTCCTTATGTTTTTTTGGTTTAATGTATAATAATCTTAGAAAACCATTATTGTTCTTTCAATGCCTCTATTATTGTAGTGTCATCCTTTGTTTAAGCTTATTGGAAAAAGTTATTCAAGTGTGATACATGTTATTTACCTTAAGTCTGATCTGGGTATTTTCTTAAATATTTTAAGGTTGAGCATCCTGTGACAGAGATGATCGTTGGCCAAGATCTCGTGGAGTGGCAAATTCGGGTGGCCAATGGAGAACCTCTACCTTTGAGTCAGTCACAGGTGCCCTTAAAAGGTAAGTAAAATTTATGAGCACACCACCATATTGAATGTGCATGTTTTTACCGAATTAATAACAATATATGTTGATGTCAGCTTCTTTTAGTGATATCTGATATCAGCAAGAGGATTATTTGTGACAACTGGGGACCTAATTTCTGATTTTTTCCTTTGGTAGGATTTACTCTATGAAATTTTTAGGATAAATCGTATATCACTTTGTGTCCTGCATGTTAGTTTAATATAAATCTTATATTTTTGCCTCTGGTGGACCATTTTGGATTTTGATCAAGTTTTGCCAACTTGGCATTTTGGGTTTATATTTATTGGGTAGGAAACAATAGTTAACTGATATATGGCACTATCGTCATCATAATTTTTTATTTTGTTGCTTCCTACCCATAAACATGATGACAGGGCATGCCTTTGAAGCTCGAATATATGCGGAAAATGTTCCTAAAGGATTCCTTCCTGCTGCTGGTGTTCTTCATCATTACCGTCCTGTTGCAGTTTCACAAACAGGTTTCTGCCTTTAACAAAATGATATATGTTTTATTGCTAATACCATAAATTGATCTTTTGACCGTTTAAGAATAAGTTTTATGATGGTAAATGAAGGATGTGATCTTGCATGTTTTTAGTAGTTGGTTGCTTCCTACCAGAGAAGTTCTGGTTTAATATCCTTATTTTTCATGGGTTCATCTTCTAGAATCATCTGTATATATCATGGGGACACCAGTCAGGTCTAATCAGAGGAAAATTGACATCGTTAGAAGAAATTCAAAAGTTTACTACATATAAGAGGAACAGCCTCAGAAGGACGATATCACACGACATGCATAGCCCTCATGCGACTAAGACGACTAATTTTCATGTTCTAATGATAAAGTACTGATAGAAGAGTATCTCTTCGGTGTGGGAATAGTCAAAGTGAGTCTCCTAGAGGAAAAATGCGCAGTTAAAAGGGTCATCATATGATACTGTCTAGGTGCAAGGGTGTGTACATTAATATCAGATAGAAATAGCTCATATCACAGTCTAGGTATCCAAAATTGGTTGATTCTGATTACTGTCTACCAACGCACTCGTAAACATTTCCCCTCTTTTCACCTGATTTCAGCACCTTGTTGTAGTTTATTATGCATCCAGAGGCACTCATACGGCCACAGACGGCCTGTCACTCTTCGCCTTCTTTCATCCCCCTCTCGTTCTAGTTTATTATGCACCCTAGGTCACACACACATACACGAGTCTTGCACTCTCGCTTATCTCTCTACCGCTTCAGCTAAGGGGAATTGGATTAAGTGCCTCAATCCCGTCAACTTGAGTTAGTATCACCATCAGCACAATGACAGAGATACAAATTTGGAAAAAGTGAGAACACGATTGAAGGTGGCATCAACAACATCAGTTGCAGCTGGAGCACCAGTGGACATCACAGAAGTAGTCACTCCAGCACTACTAATGGCAACAATAAAGGTTGCAGCTACGACACTAGAGTGGTGAGGAGAGGGCTGAAAATAATAAACCCTCTCTCATCTTTTTTTTTCCCTTCTTGCTTAGGTTGGGAGGTTTGTGGCGAGACACTGTCAACATTGTTCCTGGAATTGGATTGTGTGGGAGCGTTGGCGGGGCCAGTCCTGTGCAGTTAGGGAAAAGACCTTTCAACTTAATAAGGCAAACCTGATAACTATATTAGGTAAATTAAATGAATATTAATCATTATTCAAAGAGTACAAGGAAATGTCTGTAATAAAGTCACCATCATTGTCTGATTCTATGATGTCTATACACTATTCAGTCGAAGCTGTATGGAACAACTCATACATTTGTACTAGATCCAACCTAAGAATATCATTGAGAAATAAGGGATTAGAAAAGGTTTTTCTATTCCCATAGAACCATAGTCTAAATGTATACAACCAATAGGATAGTGAGTAGGGATATTTCTATGAGATCAACTTGAACTTAAAACACATTGATTATTTATCCGTCTTGTTTTTTTTTTTTTTTTTTTGTACTTTCTGTTTGTTTATCTTCTTCAATCTCCATCCTTGAGCCACGTTTCCTGATAAAAATTATTGTATAGGTCCTGTATCCAAAAATGTGTAGTGATGCTTTTACATGTAACTCCTTTTGTACCTTCACTAGGTTTTTTAAGTTGTCCCTTACATCTTGAATTAGATTACTAGACTTTCTATTACTCATTTTTTCATGTGCTTGGCAGTTCGTGTTGAGACAGGTGTTGTACAGGGAGATGCTGTTAGTGTGCATTACGATCCAATGATAGCTAAGCTGGTTGTTTGGGGAGAGGATCGCAAGGCTGCGCTAGCTAAGCTTAAGGACTGTTTATTACAATTTCAGGTTGCTGCAGCATTTGTCAATTATCTGTCTGAAATATTACACAAAGGTCCCATTTTGAAATACATGTACTTTTGATTTTCTTTTACGTATCTTTGCATTTTCACGTGTATGCAAATGACTTTGCATTGAGCTGTACCCTAGTGACATTGTCCGGATGCAGCAGATGCGTACCACTTGCAGAAAAGTACACAGACAATGTATCGTAGATGCACATTTATTTATTTATTTGTTTATTCAACATTTTAATATCAACGTAGTTTAATGTATAGTTTTTAAATAGATATTCTAATACTATTTCTTCAGGTTACATTGTATTCCTAATTAATGCATTTATGAAACTTTTTGTGTAGACATTTACTTTTGTTATTTTAGTGTTATGAAATTTTGTTCTATTTTGTCTTGTTGATTAAATATTCTATAGCCATTTTCTTTTAGAAGCATGCTTGAATAAATATAACATTACGTCTAACGTGATCACTCTGTCTCATTGCCTAGATGTAAGGCAGGCTTTATCCAGATATAGTTGTACTCCAGGATTTTAGTATAAACTTGAAGTCAATGGCTCATTTTGCAGGTTGCAGGTTTGCCGACTAATATCAGTTTTCTCCAGAAACTTGCCAATCACCAGTCTTTTGCTAATGGCCTGGTGGAAACACATTTTATTGAGCACTTCAAGAGTGATCTCTTCATTGATTCTGGCAGTAAAATCTCAGACGAGACATACAGTGCTGTCAAACTTGATGCAGGATTAGCTGTTGCTTGCATTTGTAGACACGAGCAGGAGAAATCGAAAGATATTTTTTCTGGTAATTACAGTCTTCTGGGAATCTCATTTTTTCTGAAACCTCCGTGAAACCTTCTGATTATCCTTTATATATAGGGAGGGCCGACTCGCTTCCTTTGTGGTATTCGCACCCACCTTTCCGTATGCATCATTCTGCACAGCAAATCTTAGAGCTGGAGTGGGACAAAGAATCTGACGGAACTGAGACAGAACCTTTAAAACTTGCTGTTAGTTATCAAACTGACGGAAGCTATTTGATTAAGGTACCAATCATCAGGATAAGTTTAATGTTTTTAAATTTCTACTGTCGGTAGATAAGCTGAATAAGAAAGTGTCATTTGCCAGTTGCTGTCATAGGACAAGTGGTGCATTTCCCATTAAACTTGATTGAAATTTTGTTGATTAAACTCAGTTTTCATTCTTCCGGATTAATATGTTTCGATAAACTGTACGGTGTAGGCTTCAGCGGGTTCATCATTTTTTATTTTGGTTTTAATACGTTGCAGTTTATTTGTATACTTGTCACTTCTCATCGAAATGCTTTCTAGTACAAATGCATAACTGAACTCTATTTCTTGATATTTTGGGTCTACTGATGAAATATTGGAGGACCTATGATTTCGAATGTCGTGAAATTATTTTGATCAACTTGCCTTTGCACTTTGGATAATCCAAGATTAACTCAGGTTGGGAAAATATTTCAAAGATATCTAGTGATCTGGCACTCTTGAAATGAATGAATGAATTATTATTTTTGTAGCTATCCTATCTTGGGTTTCAAAAAGGCTGACACTGTCGATATTCTGCTCATTTCTGTGCCCCCTCTCTCTCACTCTCTCTCTCTCTCTCCCTTCCACCCTCCCTCCCTGCACCTGGCAAACAGCACACCCGGTTCTTTAGATTATTTCTCTAAACGCTGTTGTCTTGCTACGAATTTACTAGAATGGAAGTGACGACGCCTGTGGTCTGGAAGTCAAAGTCACACAATTGGGGAATTGTGACTTCAGAGTGGATGCAAATGGGCTGACTACTAACGTCAGCTTGGCCACTTATTCCAAGGTGACCCTCTTCACCATGTACACATCTTCAGAAAAAGGATTTTTACCTTCTTGTAAAGCAATCAGCATTTTTCATCAGTTTTATTGTTTATTCTATATTTTCTCAACCTCTGGAAATTCTCATGTTCCAAAAATTCTCCAATCTCCACCAGGAGAACTACAAGCATATACACATCTGGCACGGGGAGCGGCATCGTCATTTCAGACAGAAGATAGAGCCTGAGAAATCCAGTGATAATATCTCTGACCACCACCAGGCTTCCCTTCAGACAGCCTCCCACCCTAAAGGGAGCATCGTAGCACCCATGGCCGGATTAGTCGTCAAGGTTCTCGTGGAGAATGGTGCCATGGTGGAGGCAGGCCAACCCATACTGGTCATGGAGGCTATGAAAATGGAGGTCCGTCGTTAGTGTTAAGAACAATCCGGTTTGATTAGTTTAGAATAAAAGATATTGTTATGGTTTTGACTTGAATTGCCCAATGACTCCTATAGTCAGGATACTACATAAGATATTTTATTGAAAGTTTTAATATTTTATCTGTGCCACTGCTGTTTCAGCATGTCGTGAAGGCCCCCCGTTCTGGCTCTGTATCTGGTCTTCACGTTGCTGCTGGACAACAGATTTTTGACAATGATGCCCTCTTCACCATCACGGTATGATTCATAATTCTCCTCCCCCCTCCCCCCCCTGAAATTAAAATTGAATTGATGGTCGATCAGCTCCACCCCCATCGATTTTCTCTTCAGCTTTTCTCTTTTTTGCTAATTTTAGAAATTGTCCAAGGAAGTGGCTAGTATGGCCTGATTAAGTCATGTTCATGTCATCGATCTGATGCTAACTTGTTATTGATATCACTCCGCTCTTCTGTTCTCGTACTCAAGAAACTACTAGCTAGCTACTATTCATCTGGTCATTCTTTTACTGAGGTGTATATTAGCTCTGCAATTCTATGGTATCTTATTTCTTGGGCATCAAGAATCATCTGATCACAGAAGGGATCATGACTTGCAGTTCTGCCTTTTAACTGGGGAGAATTCCAATCTCTCCTGATAAAAGTATTATAACAGTAATCAGCTCAGATCAGCTGATTCTTGCAACAGTAATTGTGGCTTTGCCTGATTTTACACTTATAGCTGATGAATTGGAACAGAATCGAAGAATCTAACTCAGAACAGCCGATTCTATGTCAGACTGGCCTGATCGAGCTGACCCCAATGACTGCATTTACTGGTTTAAGACAGACTAACGTCTAAATACCCTTCTACCTAGTTGTATCTTTCACCCTGTCAAATCCTACGGGCCTCTCTCACTGCAGATTTGCATACTGTTTCTCCTTCGCTTGATTAAGTGACGACCCATCCCATTCTTCATACTATTCCTATAGATAGAAAATGAAAAGAAAAAGGAAGAAGAAGACTGCAGGAAGATGGGAGCCAAAAAGATGGATGCATTGGCTCCCCTTCCCCTAACATGTATGGCACAAATTCCCTCATGTTCTCAACAATTCCTATAAACATATGCATCTGAAATAGTTTCCTCGTGCTCGTGTGTAACAAGTGATAAGAGTCTGAGCTTCTGAATATATATACATAAAGATGTATATCCTCTCATGGAGTGTCTTGTCCCTTGTCTAGGGTACATAGCGTGGTGACCATCCATCTCGGGCGCAAGGAGGGACAATCTCAGCAGCCGCTCTGACTCCATTTTCCGACAGGATTGTATCCAACAGGGTCAAACAAGGCCGAAGACAACTGGGATGAAATCAAATTTCTCTTCCCTTCCATTCCTGGTAAACTAAACTAAACTAAATGCACAGTCTCTCTCTCACAAGTCCTCTGAAATGATGATCTGATACAAACTATGCTATTCAAGCCGTAATATGATAGCCAGATGCATGGAAAACTACATGAATGCGCAGGCCTATAAACAGGTTTAGGTCAAGCTCTTGGTCTATTTCATGGGCTTTTCTCTGGAGTATGAGTTCTCTGATCCGTCGTAGGCTTCAAGGGCCCAAGCCAGAGCCTAGCCAGGCCCATTAAGAGAATCCCTGATGGCCTTTTCCTTGAAAGGCAGCAACAAGTAAGTAATGATACCTTGGAAGCAATCCCTCAGTCTATGATGGCCTGTCTGGTTGTGAACCTCTGTGGTCCTCTTTTCATATCTCAGTTTCTTGGGAGTTATGCGTTCTTTCATCATGATTTCGGTGGGCTCCGGGTCCTGATGCTTGGCCACTTGAGGGGTGCTCCAATGCCAAAATAGGGAAGCCCTCATGTGTCCCACCGGAGGTGATATGATCAACAAGCTTTCTTTCTTCTTCATCTCTCCTCCAGCTATTTACAGTAAAGGTTCCATCTTAAGTGTAATTCCCAGTCTCCCTCTAGGAACTACCCTCCAAGTTAAATGAGATGCACGGATCAAACATTAGGGATCTTGATGAAATGTGTTACTCAAATCCTACATCTGATGGTTATGGTTCTACCACTGACAAGTAGATGAAAATGCACGATTCATATTTCTATCATCCCACGCTGCTCCTCATAGCCATCTTCAACCTCATTTCAGTCCTGAAGATCTAATCTTCACATACACACAAACATATATATATTGATATATATACTTAGAGAGAGAGAGAGAGAGAGGAGGACACACATGAAGTTGCATGAATTGCTAATTAAGGAGATCTAGCACTTATAATGAAGAGAGAACAAATGAAAACCACGGATAAGAAAGTAGAACACCATAAATCCATTGGACAAGGAAAAGTCAAATCTTGAATCCATAGAGATGAGATATTTCAATCATAAAATCCACAAGTTCTCTCTTGAATCCACAAGAAAGATCTGCTTAAATCCACAAGTGGAGAACGCTTTGAAGGGGAGGGCCTTAATAATGCATAAAATTTGAATTAGGAATACAATGTTTGTGCGTGTTTATAGGCTAAAAACAAAGGGTGGTGGCGCGTTGGGCTTCCTCCACTCAAATAACATGTTTTGGGTTTGTTTAACTTAAGCCCAATTCGAGTTCAATTGGGCTAATTTCATTAAAACCACTTAAGTAAACTCAGATTCCTTATTTAAAATTTCTAATGGGTCCAGATTTTCTGTACCAGGCCTAGGCCATCTTTAAAAATGAAAGCTCCTCACAAATAAACTGCCTTCTAGTAAAATTTTCATCAAAGTCATGTAAACCTTTTAAACAATCAAAACTAGTTTATCTCAATTCAAAAGTTGACTAAACATGATGATTTTCTGCTAAATGGATATGAAACCCATTTAATAGGCATTTGATTGATGTTAAATTGCCAATTTATAAATTTGAAGGTTTGATGATCTGTTTAAAAAATAATTTTTCACTGAATCTAATAATGTTGCTATGTATGTAGTATATTCACAAAAGCATAAATATTAATTCATGTGGTCTACTTTTTTCTTACAACACTAAGTTCTTACAACACTAAGTTCACTAAAAAAAGTAACTAGACGATTTCTTGAGACAATAAAACTCCTATCTCATAGTAGACGCATCACACTTTGCCTCAAATAATTTTTTATTTTTTTTTAGTGCTTATATAGGTGCAATGCTCAATTTTTTTAATTAGAATAATTTTTTTTTAACATCTTCTGTCCAAATTTCTTTTCGTTTTCATTCATTCAATAATGGGTGTAACACTAGAAGTAAATTTTATAATAAATATGTGATAAAATGATACAAAGTTCAACCTCATGGATATCATCTTGTATGACCCATTCATTGATTGCAAGTAATTTCTCATCATCAACTTGGATATCATTTAAGCTGATCATATATTCATTTCCAAAGAAAATTAAATTTATTGTGATAAAACTACACTAATTGAGATGTATATATAAGCTTATTTGGATGTAAAATTATGAATATTGATCTAAAATGATTAAAATTTCTTCCACTAAGACACTAAAGTTGATATATCTAAGTCTACAATAATAAACTTTCCAACAAAATATTTCAAGACTTGATTTGTCATTTTTCTAAAAGTACTTTATGCATTGACAAACTAAAAGACACTACTAGATTTTTATAAAACCATGCATTTATCTTGAACATTGGCTTTCATTCATCTCCAGCACATTGTTTGATTTGGTAGGACTCACTTTTCAAAAGTTGACCTTAGAGACAATTTTCACACCACAAAACATATCTAGTATACCATAAAGGCATGGAATAGTAAATCGATGTTTAATAGTAACCTTATTAATATTCCCATCATTAATGCACATATGTCAATTACTATCTTACTTTAAGATTTATAATACTAGAATGGAGCATAGACTCATGTTTTCTCATATCATCTTTTATGAAATGCTCATAGAGTTATTCTTTTTAACTTCAATTTTCCTCAAGAGTCATTCTATATGAGGTAAATTAGTTAAACTAGCCTAAAATATAAAGTCAATGTAGTGTTGAATGTCTCTCATTGCTAAAAGATGATTTGAGATCTTCTATGAGTTCTTACTAGTGATATTTTTTTTCCACGAGGAGAAAGATTCGTGCTCTCATCTAGGTTATTGAGATTTTTTTTTCTATTAAGTAACATAATAGTAGTTTTTCTTTCATTGACATGAGTTATAAAGTTTCTTTCATTGGGTGTAATATAAACTTTTGCTCTTATAAAAATGTATAGATTTTATCTTTAATAATGACTAGCATCAACATCAAACTGCCTTAACCTCTCTAAAATAAGATGACATACAGTCATATCACAAAAAATATATCTATTTTCGTCAAAATATGTATTTTTAATTGAAAATTTGAATGCATAGGTTTTGTGAATTTATTTTCATGATCCTTTTTAATCCACTAGTTTTATAGAAGTGTGTATCTAATTCTATTACAAGTCAAAATCTTAATACTATAAATCAAGAAACATTATTTTCACTAATTTCATTGTCAATAGCAATATAACATACTTTATTATTGAATGTGAAATGTATTCAAAATATATTAAGATGTTGTAGACATTTTTATTTTTTTGGAATACTCATAAGCCTTTTCATAACCAATATATGAGAAAGTATTTTAGTATTATCAAAATTTATGAGATTTTTTTCAAATTCATTTGTATGTTTTTTACTCTCAAATTCTTACCTTTAATATGTTTTACTAAAATTATTTGAAGCACATTTTGTATAGACATTGAACTTGTGTCCTTCTCCACATCTGTAACATTTTAGTTTAGACACTTCTTGCCTGATTTTTCATGCCATTTGACTTTGGTAATCTAATTATTTAACCATGACCAATACTTAGGTAGAAATGTTAGCAAGTTACTCAATTCTTTCAAGTGAAATGTGAAAGATTTGTTGAACTTTTTGATCATCATTTGGCCTTCTCAATGAATGGTTGAGCATGTTATAATATAATAACAATATCATTTAACTTATGTAATGATGGTACTTTAAAGTTTTCCTCAATATCTCATATAAGATTAGCTTTGAATCTAGAAATCAATTTCGATTTTTATTTTGTTAAATAAGCTCTTAAAGGTAGTCAATAAAATTCTTCTCCATAATATAAACCATTTCTATCACTTTGTTTGCAATTCTAATTTTGTCAATATTAGATTTATTCATAATTAGGAGAAAGAACTCGCTTTTTTAGTAACTTTTTAATTTTATGTCAAGTTCAAATTAATTCCAAATTAGATCTCACAATTGACCTAAAGTTGTTCCTACCATAATGATGGTTTTCCTTTCAATATAAATGTAACAAGTTTCACCTTTTTCTTACTTTGAATTTTATCAAAATATAGTGTAAATACTGTATTAGTAGTTGGAATGATGTGTATCACATTCTTCACTTAAAAAGCATGTGAACATAACTTATATATCTCAAGATGTAAGGCTCTATGTCTAGAACCTTCTCCTATGGATCTATTATAAATAATATAGACCCTTGTCTCCATGTAAATTGATCAGAAAGTCATTATTTTCGCCTTGTATGTTGTAAATAGAAGTTCCTTTGTCCCTTCCACGAGAAAGTTTGCCATTCTTCAAAAACAAAGGAACTCAATGAAACTAAACATTGTATCAAAGCTAATCTAGGTGTGATTGCTCCTTTCTTATTATCTCTTTTTATATAATACATTAATGCTACTTTTGTGAGCCTCTTCTTGAGGACTTGGAAGATCAACATCGCTCTTTGAACCCCTTCTCCAAGTGATTCTTGATCTTCCTTTGAAGACATACGAGAGTTATAGTTTTTTTTTTGCTCAAGATGCAATTATTCTTATTCCAACTTGTTGTCTTTCCATATGTTCGATCAAGAAAAAACCTTAGTAGATGACATCTCTATGACCATTATGGAAGTCAATCCTGTATCATTAAGATTGATGATTGAACTCCATACCATGCCTATGAAATTTAAGTTGACTAGATATAATCTCATCTAATGGTCAGATTATATTAGGGAGGTTCTTAGTAGTAGAGAGATGCTACATCATTTAGAGGAGACTACACTAGATCTAATGTCAAGGCAATTTAAAAAATGGCGAGAGGAGGATACCTTGATAAAGTTGACATGGATTTGGGGAATAATGATTCCCCAATTTGGTAGAGATTTTTTCTTTATGAAATCTATGAAAGATCTATGGGGATTAGTAAACATGAAATATTCGATGAAAAACATCACACATTTATAAAATGGAGATAAAATCTGAATCAATTACTCATAGTTTGAAATTAGTGATGGAGTAAACATGAGAACTTAAAAATCTATGGTAGGAGTTTGATTATTATTTTAATCTTGAGACTGAAGAACCTAAATAC